ATAAAATGTTTTTTAATTGTGTACCAATTTAACGTTGAATATTATTTATGATTTTAACTTTATACACAAGTGCCAAAATACTATAAATATCTTCAGTTGTTTGACTATCATTTGAATTAATGCAAATGTAAATAAAAATATATCGCATACTAGAAACACCTGTGGCAGTATAAACAGATACATCAATTTTAGAAAACAAACTAGCTGATGTCTTACTTTCGGAAAGAAATTGCGCGCAAATTACGTTTACAAACAAAAATATTTAATGAAATGGAGTATAAAGAATTATATTTTGAGTAGTATAAACTACTTCTAATGTAATAAATCTTTAAATTCAGAATTTTACATTACCTTATTTCCAAGCACAAAAATGTTTATAAAAGTTTATTGGCAAAAACACGTAAACAACAATCTGCATTTTCAACAAAATTTAATGACAGTTTATTAAAAAGTATAAACTATTCAGAAATTAACCACTTCAATAACATCAATTATTCAGACTGCATTTATTAAAAACCAAAGTTTATTAAACAAAATTATTTTATTTATTTTACTTTTTCTGTATTCAAAATTTAGTTTAAGGGATCAGGGAAGTACTAAACATCTTAAACTTTAAGTTGATAAATGGTTTCCTGATGAAATGCGAATTTAAAAGGACGATCAATTTAGATAATGTGTAATAATTTCTGATCAAATAAGCTTCAGTTAATAAAGCACCAGAAATATTAATTTTGAAATAGAAATGTGAATTACATATTTCTAATATACAATCTATTGTGTAAATTTAACATATTTGAGCAATTTTCTTATATTAAGTTTAATTATGATTAAGACTCTTCTTATTTCTGGAGATATACTTAGTTTACACGTATATATTTGCTCACATCATTTTAATTTTCTTTTTCCACAAACTTAGCCTTTCATGGAGAAATAATTGCAGTTTCTGTACTAATTAATTAGAGAGATATGCAGAGAAAGGTGTGCTATTAAGTAATTAAAACTTAAACAAAGATTTTGGCCATGTCAATCAAGGACTCGTAATAATACTTTCTCTAAATCACATAAATGAAAAATCACACATGATACAATAAGTTATATTATTAGTTTACTTACTGTAATACTAGCATAGTGTTGTTAGTTTACTTATTGTAATACTAACACAGTTTTGCCAGTTTATTTACTGTAATACTAGCAGAGTGTTGTTAGTTTACTTACTGTACTACTAACACAGTTTTGCCAGTTTATATACTGTAATACTAGCATAGTGTTGTTAGTTCACTTATTGTAATACTAGCATAGTGTTGTTAGTTTACTTATTGTAATACTAGCATAGTGTTGTTAGTTTACTTATTGTAATACTAACACAGTTTTGCCAGTTTATATACTGTATTACTAGCAGAGTGTTGTTAGTTTACTTACTGTACTACTAACACAGTGTTGTGAGCTTGATAACTGTAATACTAGCATAGTGTTGTTAGTTTACGTACTGTAATACTAGCATAGTGTTGTTAGTTTACTTTCTGTAATACTAGCATAATGTTGTTAGTTTACTTACTGTACTACTAACACAGTGTTGTGAGCTTGATAACTGTAATACTAGCATAGTGTTGTTAGTTTACGTACTGTAATACTAGCATAATGTTGTTAGTTTACTTATTGTAATACTAGCATAATGTTGTTAGTTTACTTATTGTAATACTGTCACAGTTTTGCCAGTTTATTT